CTGCCAGGTACTTCCTGGTGGACCTGAACTGACACAGGGCCCAAGTAGATTTCTCTCCTTGCCATAGGCAGAATAATGAAAGGAGGTGAAAAGCCAGTAACTCTCACATCGTGTGATTCAGTGATGTTTAATGCTTTACCAACGTGCTATATAAAATAAAACTGCATCTCATCTTATGTACCCATACTCAATCTTAGGAAACACAATCCTAGAAAGGAACTGGCTCTTCCTGAATGAATCCTTGTGTCCTGGTCTCACCACCAAGTTCCACACCTTTCCATGAAGCAGTTCTTCCTCACTGCCGCAGATGAGATGGGTTGGGGGGGCTTCTTAATTGACTGAACAGACCTTCTCCCTCGACTTGCTGCCTGTCTGGGCCTGAGGCACCCCTTCTGGTGCCCCCTCTCTTCCCAAGTTGTAACCTTACAAACCAGGCACTGCCTCCCCTGGAAATACAGGGGCAAGATCAGAGGACCCAGCCAGACTCCCAGGTTCCCCTGACCCTGGCTATGGATTCCAAATACCAGCCCTGTTCCAAGCCCCTACTGCCCCTTTTGGTACATGCTGGCTCTATCCCAGCTTTGGCCTACTTCCCATTCTTGGCCAGGATGGTGGCCTGGTCCTTAGCATGCAGTGACCCCACTCTTGACTCCACACCACACACACCGGCCGGGTCCAGGCAGCAGGAGGAGTGCAACTTCACCGGCGTGCAAACCTCTGTCCTTCCTAGGAAAGTCCAGGCGATCCAGCCCAGGGGGCGGCAACCCATCACCATCATTCTCAGCCTTGGAAGCTTAGTGTCGCACAGCCTTGGACGCTGTGGTAGTCTACTCAGCTAAAGGGATCCAGACAAGCAGATGAGGTTACATGTTATTGGATATCAAGGCACGAACCAGTGAGAATTTATCCAGCAAATAGTCCACGAAGAGCCAGAGCCACCCACCACCTGCAGATGTAGATTATCACCGGCTTCCCAGTGTCTCTGGCCACAACCCAGGCAGCCCTACGAATCTTGTTACTGGCTCTCTCCATCCCACCATCTGATCCCACAAGAGAACCCACAGGCCCATGGCAGCAGAGGACAGTGATGGAGACCCCCTTTCTGGGAGAAGGGCGGCTGTGAGCGTCCTCCTTGCAGACAGCCTCACGCACACACCCCATCCTTTCCCCCAAGTATTCCGCACCACAAACCAGACCGCAACCCCTCGCGGGGCCTGGCCTGGCCCTTCCCCAAGCCTATTTCCACTTGGAAAAGTGCTTCATTTCAAAAGCTGGGCTTCGCCTCCTTGCTAGTTAGTTCTCAAAATGGTCATTCTAAAACACACAACCTTAATTCACCAGCCAGTGCCATTGCCAAAGCCATCCATAAACAGACAAACAGACAAACAAAAAGCACTGCCCACGGGGGCGATGGTTAAAATGAAAAGGTCTGCAAGCAAGAGCATCATCAGCATTCACAGAAGAGCACTCCACAGCAGTCATAGCACGCAACACACGCCAAAAACCACCGCGGCAGCAGCAAACCCCAGACGGCAACATTTCACCCTTGACCTTCACCCCTGCCTCTCGGTGCCGCTGAGTGGTTTAATAATAATTCCCTTCACATGCAGAAGAAACAGAAATAGCTTCACCAAGCACCACAGGCCGCTCGGCACAGTTGATGAAATCCTGGGGCTCTAATGCTCCCAGGCTCCCAAGTTTCCATTAAGCAGCTGCCAAATGGCTCTATCGTGGCCGGAAAGGCACCCTTGCCTCGCCTGCCTCAGTCCCTCCACAAGCAGGCCAGAGGGGTGGACACGTGTGTCGCTCAGCGACCACGTAATGGGGAAGAGGTTGCTCTGGAGTCCTGGCCCTGAGACCTCTGTCTGTCAAAGCCAAGTCAGAGCCCCTTTATAATCTTTTTCGAGACTTAAATGTGAGGGTACACAAAGCTCCCTTAATGGAAGGTCGCTCTGGCTTGTATAACAAGCTGTGTAAACTTCATCTCTGCATTTACTCAGCACCAGCCTTGTTTAATTTCCTGTCCAGGGACTTGTGGGGAACGTGACTGCCCTCCCAGGGCTCTGAACATCTTTTGGAGAATAAACAGTGCCCTCCCCATTTTGAGACCAAAAGACCCCCAAAAAAGGGCAAGATGCTTTCTCCAACTTTACCAAAAGGCAACACAGTTTGACTACATGCTTTTTTGCTGAGTTTCTCGTTAGAAAAGTAGCCTAAGACTGATTGGACGGGTACCTGGGTGGCTCAGTCAGTTGGGCGTCTGACTTCAGCTCAGGTCATAATCTCAGTTTGTGGGGAGCACCACACTGGGCTCTGCACTGACAGCTCACAGCCTGAAGCCTGCTTCAGATTCTGTCTCCCTCTCTCTCTGTCCCTCCTCAGCTCATCACACACACACTCTCTCTCTTAAAAATAAACAAACATTTAAAAAAATTTTTTGGAAAGACTGAGTGGACAAGAACAGGCTACAGAATCTCAGTTGCCTTGCATCCTGACCCAGCTGTGTGGCCTTAGCACATGACGTCCCTTCTCAAAGTTGCAGCTTCCTACTTAGGGAAATGGTGGGACACAGCAGTGCTATCTCCTAGGTCCCTGTGAGGAGAAAAATCACACTGAAGATCAAGCCAGAGCTCGGCCTGTGGGAAGAGGTCTGCGAATGGCAGTTAGCAGCCCTGCTCTGCCCTTGGAAGCGGCCATGGTAGCGGTGAAGTGCATGGCCACTGGAGCCTGGCTGCCGAGGGTCAAGCCTCAGCTGTTCCACCACTCACAGCCCTGCAAGCCCTTGCAAAATGCGCTATGAGGCTGAAAAGCAGTCGCTGTGGGGAAGGTATGAGCGTGTCAGGGACCCCAGGTTCTGAGATTTCCCCTCCTCCCATCAAGAGCAACGGCACCGCAGGGACCTTCCATCCACACCCAGTCCTTTGCAGATGCCCCTGCTCCATGCTCACTTCCTGGATGCTCACAGAGTGTGAGCAGGACCAGAAATCATTTATCATAAACCCTCATCTTACAGCCCAAAGGGCTGGAGCCTGCCCCAGATTCTTCTTAGGACCTCTCACCTGAGCTGCCCAGATTTCCTCCCCTCACCTAGTGTCTTACCTGATCTCATGGGTGGGGCAGCGAGGAAGGACAGACAGCAGGGAAATTCCAGGCAAAATCCCAAACCCAACTCCTCAAACCCTACAATTCAAGCCTTACTGAGACTCAAGGAACTAATACAGCAGGGGCTGCAGCTGGATAAAATCTTTTCCATTCAACCCACACGCTGACCCTCCCCCTGGCCAAAAGCGTCAGCGAGGAAGCGTGTTCTGATTTCACATAATGTCCCCTGGGACCCTGCTGACTGAGAAAAATGCTGTCCAAAATAGGTCAGGCCTCCCAAGAGAGGGACTACCTCCCCTCATCTGAACGGCCCACTTGCACGACTACTGCCTCACGTTCGTGCGGTGGCTGTCCTGTGCTGATGTGGGTAGCCTTGCTCCTGTCAGAGACAGCTCTCCTTTCTAGAGAATGAGGGGTTGGCCCAAGCATCAGCCAGACATCCTGGCTCAGCGTCTACACCCCAGGAGCACACTGGGCAATTCCTCAGAAACCAGGCGGCGAGACCAGGCAGTGCTGCATCCTGCCAGGTCCCTTCCATCCCACACACACACCTCCTGGCCCGGGGAGGTCCCCATGGGACTAAGAGGGAAGCACTCAGAGCCGGAGGCCTTGCTCGGCAAGCAGTTAAATACTCTGTGGAGTCGGGACTCGGAACCACAATTTCGATGTCAGAAAGTTTGCAGAGGTGTTTCTCTGAGGCCGAGATGGGATTTATGGGAATGAGCTCTGGCCACGACTGGCCTTGCACACCTTGAGTTGTCGTATGATGCCTGTGGCCAGGTGTGAGATGAGGTGAGGGCAAAGGGACTAACTGACTCATCTTTCCTCCTGCTCACTCAGCCGGTGCTCCCCAGCTCCACACGCACTGCACACGCATCCCTCGGTGGGATGAGAGGCATAGCTGTGAACTTGGCTGCCCCGTAAAGATCTCGGGAGAGTGGTCAGACAACAGAGCTAAGACCAAGGCGAGGGGTGAGGCATCCAGGGTGCAGAACTCCACAGTTCCACACCCCCGGCTTCTCATCTTCCTCCCTCTAAACCTGGCCCTGTCAGTGACAGTCCCGGCTGGAAGGTGCTTCTAGAAAAGTGCAGGGGCCACGCAGTCAGGGCAGCGCTTTCCATTCTAGTCTAAGGAGACTGAACAGTTCCTCAAAGGAAGTGAGAAATTTGGACCAGGAGAACCCCTCAGGGGTTCCTCTTGACTGCTCTCCTCTGTTCTGGCCACCAAGCCTTTGCCCTGAATGGCTAGTGCACTTGGGCCATGGCCACCATCACACCCTCCTCTGGCCCCCTGTGCCAGAGCAGAGCTGAGCTCGCAGTCGGGGGAGCACGTGTGCCCCCAGGGCACAGCTAGAGAGGAGCCTGGGCCCAGGCAGCCAGTCCCAGCTGGGCCCTGAGCTCCTCTGCCACCGCCCCGGGCCTCCCCTGCAGGCAGCGTGCCCTGCCTGCGCTACCCAGCAGCCAGCGGGGCTCCGCGCCAACCGGGCTTCACCGGGAGGGAGGATACCAAGGAGAACGAGGGCAGGTGTCCACGTCCAGCTGCGCCACGCCTCTGAGTGGGTCTGCTGCCCACAACTCTGTTGGGCATGTGTCCCTGTTCACAGGTCTGTAACCATTTCTTTGTCCGTCATTCTTTCTGTGACCCTGTTTTTCCTCCCTCCCTCTGTGCGTCCCTCCGGCCTTAAGTGCTGTGAGGCCGGGCCGGGGCAGTCGCAGCGTGTCCCCTCTCGCCCTCATTGGCTGGCAGCCGCTCCTCGGGGGCAGCCGCTGTCAGTCCCGCCCCCCCGCCCCCCCCCCCCCCCCGCCCAGGACCTGAGCGCGCTCTGAGCCTCCTCGGAGCGCAGTCTCCTGCTCAAGACAGGAGCGAAGCAGCCAAAGCGAGTGGGCACAGGCTCGCCGCACACCGGGCGTCTGAACAGGGACTCGCGGCTGCAGGACTGCCTGCTCCGAGACGCAGCAGCCGCGGCGGCGCCAGAGGACTCCACGCCACCCGCCCTCAGGGCACCTGGCGTCCCAGCGCCGAGCGGGCACCCGAGCTGTGGCCGCACTCCCCGGGCGCCTCTCGCCGCTGCTGCAGCCTCGGGGAGACCGGATCCCGGAGCGCACCAGAACTGGGGGACGGAGCCGAGAGCTTGGCTGCAAAACCGCAAGCCGGGTGACTCGGCACCGCGCGTGGAGACGGCAGGACACAGGGAAAGCCAGAGGGTCGCGCGCTTGGGGCCACCCAGCTCCGACCCGCGGGGACCGCAGCTGAGCGCGGAGGCGAGGGAGCGGCGCGGCCCCGGCTGACCCGAAGGCACCGGCTCCCGGTCAGGTGCGCGCAGCAGGGCGGGAGGGGCGCGCCATGGAGGCTCCCGGAGTCGCTGGTCCGCGCGACACCAAGTGAGGCGCTCCGGCCGGGGTCGGCGGCCCCGCAGGTCATGTACGGAGACGTGTTCAACGCCACGGCCGGCCCGGAGGCGGCTGGAGGCGGCGCGCTGGCCCTGGCAGCCACGGTCAAGGCAGAGGGCGCTTTGCCGCTGGAGCTGGCCACCGCGCGCGGCATGCGAGACGGCGCGGCCACAAAGCCCGACCTGCCCACCTACCTGCTGCTCTTCTTCCTGCTGCTGCTGTCTGTGGCGCTCGTCGTCCTCTTCATAGGCTGCCAGCTGCGCCACTCGGCCTTCGCCGCGCTGCCCCACGACCGTTCGCTGCGCGACGCCCGAGCGCCCTGGAAGTCGCGGCCGGTGTAGCTGCGGAGCGAGCCAGGGCCGGCGGGCGCAGTGTCCGGGTCTCACCCCGGCCGCCGGTAGGAGCGGGGCAGGGCAGCGAGCCTGGCGCCAGGGGTCGCTGGCCCCTGGGAACGCCACCCCCTGACCCAACGACCCCTTCCGACCTCAAGCGGCAAGCCGGGCGTAAAGGGAGTCAGAGGCGTTCGCAGGCTGCGTAGGGTCCCGAACCCAGAAGCCGCAGGTTTCCAAGGTTCTGATCCCCTGGAGGAGTCTTTCTCCCCCCTCCCTCCGGACAGCGGGTCTAGCAGGGGTGCCTTCCTGAAAGACGGCGCGCCAGCCCAGACACAGGAGCCTCCCCCGCCGCCTGCTGACTCCCTTACTTTGCACACGAAGGGGCAGGCATGGCTCGGCGAGGGCACTACTAGCCAGAAGCTGGCCCGGTAGCTGTCTTCCCGCCGCTGCTACCGCCTCTTCCACTCCTTGGCACCGAGGATCCCGGTCTCCCGAGAACCCGAGACTGAACTCAGCCGAACTTAGAAATGATGGCCTTTGGCGGCTGCGTCCTCTCAGGGAAGTGAGGGGATGCTGAGTTTAAGTAGGTCCCGCTCGGGTCCAAGGGCTCAGTTTTCTTTGAGGGCACGGGAGGGTTAGCCGGTCTAGAGGAACTGGGTCGCACCTGCAGCACCCTGTGGTTGGGGATCCGCGTCCCGCACCTCCAGGGACCGCATTTGTACAATAAAACTTCACCGAACTGGACCCAGTGCTGAGAACGCTCTGGTCATTGGTCGCGCCGCTTTGGAAAGGGGGTTAAGGAAGGGCAGCAGGGCTGGCAGGCCACCCGCAGCCTCAGTCTGCCTCCTACTTCGCCCTGAGCCGCGCAGGTTTTAATACTTCCTCCTCTCTAGCGTTTCCTCAGCGTCAATCAGGTAGTTGTTCTGGGAAGTGTTTTCAGAGCCCTCAAAAAAAAAAAAAAAAAAAAAAGAGGACTTGCTGCCTTATCTGCAGGAAAAATTCCCAGTAAAGGCTTCAAGGAGCCCTTCTCTACAGGGCAGTTGCTTGCACTTGGCCCTCTCCTTTGCTCTCAGAGTCTCTTGGGTCCGAAGCCTTCCAAGAGCCAGGTGTAGACCAGAGCCATCTGATGATGGAAGGGCCTGAGGGTCCTGCCCTGGGATCAGCTCCTGGGATCAGCTCTGCCCTGGGATCCCTGCTCACGGCTTCTTCCCACAGTAGGCAGAGGCCTGTGCTGGAGAACACGGGGCAGGGGTGGCAAATGGATGAATAGTACCAGCTATGGGGGAGCTGATTAGAAAGGCCCTGAGAAGGAACAGAAAGATTTGTGATAACCTTGGCCATTTTCAAAGTTAACCTAACTCTAGGGAGTCTACTTTATGGGGGTTTAAATAGTTTCAGGCGTTACCCGGCTCAGTAGGGCACTAGAGCTTAGAGAATGTTTCACTAAAAATAGATGTGGTAGATTATCCAATTCAGTAGTGCCAAACCATTTGCGGGGTCACTCAGGTTTTGAGAATCTGAAGAATGCTAGGATGTTGCATCAGGCAAAATGCAGACAGGCACACAATTGTGCAAGCCTTTAGTGAGGGATGCCTAAGGACTCAAGTGAGGCAGGGGGAAAGATCTGCCCGGGCTGGAGTCTTGGGCCAGGGCTCCCCACCACTGTTCCACCGCGGCCAGTGAGTGCCCAAGCTTCCCTCCTGGCCCCATCCAGGAAGCAGGACACATAAGCTGTAGACAAGGTCTCACCTTGGCCTGGATTAACCACATCTTGGAATGCTAACCCCAACCAACCCCTAATGGTGCTAATTCTGTGAAAACCTCACAGAACATCTTGGCCAGGTCTTTGGAAATGTAGCCAAACCTCCCCAGCCTACAGTAATGTAACCCAGCTAATCTGCATGACCCTTGGTGGCAGAGACAATTAAATGGAATAAATGTAAGGAATATGAGAGCCCCTGGCTGGTGTCATGAAGTAGTGTGCTGCTGATAAGAGGGACCCTTTTTCAGCTGTGATGTAGGCGACTGGGAGGGGTAGGAGGCCGTAAAGAGACAGAGTACTCCTTCTCCACATCTCCCCATGGGTAGATCTAAAGGCAGTATGCAGAGTAGTCGGAGCACAAGTTCTGGAGAATGACTGGCGTTACAGCCCAGCACCAATGCTCCCTGGCTGTGCGACTCCACGCACATCATTTAATCTATTTCAGCCTGGTTCCTCATCTGTGAAATGGGTATTCTTTCACCTAGCTCTGCAGGGTTGAAAGTGAAACGTAGTAACAAACGTGAACACGCTAGCTAGCATCCAAATGTTAGCTCTTATTCTAACTGAGCCGTAGGCTTGAGGCAGCAGTGCCGAAAGTTGAACCTAACCCTAAAACAGGATGTGCTCTCACTAGGGCTCACTGTCTACTGTGACCACAAACCAGTGCAAAGGCCAGTCCTTGCAGGTAAAATGTGAGTGGATGACTGACTTAGAGGTTGCCTAAGGTTCCTGGGCCAGCGTCAGCTAAAGCCAGAGAGATCCCAGGAGGCTCTTGGGATCCCTTGATACACTACAGGCCCAAGGCCTCAAAAGGTTAAAGCTGAGAAGGGCTAAGGAAGATGGGGACAGCTTGGAAAGCATCTGTGTGTCTGCTGCCTTGCCCTGGTTTCGGCCACCTAAACCAATGGTCTGGCCACTTCAACTCCACAGGTACTTTTTTTTTTTTTTTAATGTTTATTTATTTTTGAGAGAAAGCGAGCAAGAGCATAATTAGGGGAGGGACAGAGGGAGAGGAAGACACAGAATCTGAAGCAGGCTCCAGGCTCTGAGCTGTCAGCACAGAGCCCGATGTGGGGCTCAGACCCACAGACTCACGAGATCATGACCTGAGCCAAAGTCGGACGCTTAACCGACTGAGCCACCCAAGCGCCCCACACAGATACTTTAAAAATAAACTCTTAGGTAATCAGGCCTATGTAGAGATCGAATCTAGGCACCGGGCAGGATTGGTGAGAGGGCCTGGACTGGGCCTCTTCTTTTGCCAGCACTGTGTCCCTGAATAATTTCATTCCCTTCCCTAGCGTTAGATTGGTTGAGCAGTAATGGGCCTTTCTCATGCTGGACCTAGCCCCACATTCTCCCAGAAAAGCAGGGATGTGGCTGAGCTCATGTCTGCTGCTGCTGAAATGCAGGGTAAGTGGACTGCAATGTGGCAATGGGACATATAGATGGGTATCAGGGGGTGAGTCTGCACACACACAGCCTTCTGCCCTTTGCTCTCCCACCAGGCCCACGAAGCCCTGGAGCCACCTCTGGAGAGCTGGAGCTGGCAGGCTACAAACACAGCAGGACCCCTGACAAGCATTTGGACTGCTTTGCCCTTAACCAGCCACTGGGAGCAGACAAGGGGGCTGAGCACATGTTTCTGATGGGGGCTTAGGGGGTGGTTGGGTGGTTGCAGGTGACAGGAACCAGGGAGAAGCAGCATAGGGTGGTGACTGAGAGCCTTAGCCTTGGCACTAGGTACTGGCCTTGACTATCCACGCTATGCCTGGATCATGTTTCTGGATTTCTGGGAGCCCCACTTTCCTCACCTGTAAAATGGAGATAATAATAGTACCTGCCCCACAGGAGTTTCAACATCGCGTGAGACATCGTAGGTAAAGTGTTCAGCTCATGTTTGACATGTCGTAAGTGCTCTGAATGGGAGCTATTCTTATTATTAACCAGGATGACCATTTCAGAAGTGTTTGCAGCAGCACTAACACCAAATGTGCTTCCTCGGTGGCTTGAAGTTCTTCTTCAAAAGGTGCCAAATGGTAAAGAAGCCTGCCCCGTTCCGGCAGGGGTGCCCAGAGTCGGAGGGCAGCTGTCCCGGGTCATTTCTCTCTCTGCACATTCTCACTAAACTAGCTCATCCACTCTTGTGGCTTCAGGTGCTTTTCAAATGACTCATTCCAGACCTTATCCCTGAGCCCATTTGATTATCTCCATTTGGATAGCTCATAGGGAGCCTCAAGCTCTAAAACTCATCATCTTTCTATAAACATCAGACCTTCCTTCAGTCTTCTCCATCTCAGTAAATTGCACCACCACCTGGTTGCCCGAAGTGAAAGCCACAGTGGTCCTTCTTGATCCCAAACTCTTCATCTTCCCACATGCAATCCATCATCTTCCAGATACCAGTCTACTCCATCTAATTCCGTCCATCTCCACCATCGCCACCCAAATTCAAAGCCCAACATTCATTTTTTCTTTCTCTCCAATCAGAGGAATGTCAGAACCCAATATCTGGCTTGGGCCCCAGCTTATACCCCCATGGCTTCTCCTTGCCCTCAGGATTTAAGATAATGCCCTAATCTTGGCCTATAAGACCCAGCACCATCTGCCCCCCACCATCCACTCCAGCCTCATTTCCTCACCTTCTTTTGTACTTTTAATCCTTAGGGTCTCCCCTCCCCCATCTGGCTAATGCCTTCTCATCCTCCAGGTGTAAGTTAAATCTCTCTCCTTCAAAAGGACTTGCCTGAGTTCTCAGAGAAGATCACTTTCCTTCATTCATAGCCCCCGGTCAGCTCCCTTATTAAGGGTATTAAATAGCTGTGTAATTCGGAGCCTCATGCCTCTCTCCCTACTACCATGTAAGCTGTATGAGGTCAGGGACAGCATGTGCCCAGGTCACTGCTGCCTTCCCAATGCCTAGCATAGTGGTACACAAAAATGGGCACTGAGTCTTTGTTGAATGAAGTATAATGGAAAGACAGAGCTAGAAGTTGAAGGTAAATTTGCCTGTGGGTTCTTCACCTGAACTCTTTGCCTTTGACTTTCTGCCTTAAACTAAACTTGCATCAGATACAATATTGAGTTGAACTCTCCTTATTGATTGGCCCTTCAAGTGGCCAGTTTCCTGGAGGTGGTAATTCACAAAATTGTTAGCAACTGATATTTCCTGTCTCCATCTATGTAACACTATAGTTATTATTGGCTCTCCCGCAGAGACTAAGAACATGCAATTTAAGTTTGTACACTTAGCTATTTCTGCCTGAATCACTCATTTCCCTGAAGGGAAGCAGAGAGCTACTTTGTAGTATCATTCATGCTTTCTGGATTGTCTTGACTAAGAATGGATTAAATCGCTGCTTCACACATTGACTTCCTCACCTCTTCCTGAACTTTATCAAAGATTTCTTTCTCAATGAGACCTTCCCTGGATCCTTGGTCTAAGACCTCAACTATCTTCTACCTCTAACCCTTGATGTTTCCAAGCCCCCTTTCCTCCATTTTTTCCTTAGAACTTCCCACTGCTCTCCCTCTACATGTTATTGTTCTTGTTTTGTGTCTCCATCAACCAGAATGAAGAACCCTGAAGGAAAGAACTTTGGTTTTATTCAGTTTACCCTACACCTGACATCAAATATTAGTCAAATGAATGAGCAAACCACCTGGTTAAGTGCTCTAGACCAGAAAGAAACTACAGACATTTAAAAAAAAAAAAAAAAAAAAAGGAGCAGAGTCTTTTTCTTAAAATCTCCTTCATTCTTCATTTCTGCTGCTTCTCCACCTTCCAAACTGATCCGATAACCCTAACCAGATAGGGGTCAAAATCACACAACCATGTTACAGCTTTGCCTTCCATGAAGACAGCGGGCTCTCTTGCTACAACAAGCGAGTTCTACTGCACTGGCTGGTGTAAAGTTCGCCTGGTAGTAAGCACTCCGGGAGGATCTGGTGAGAGGGAGTGAATGAGCAAGTACTATGTATAGTCTGAACTGTCATAACAAAGGACAATCCCCACTTCCAAGTTTCTTTTTCACTTAACTTTCCAGGAGAACAGGTCTGTCATCCTCACCCCTTGGCTTCCGTGTCCATCTCAAGGTGGATTCACTACTTCCTGCCACCGTATCTGCATCCTAGCCACTGGGAAGGCGAAAGGGCCAAGAACATTCCCCTTGAGAGCAATGCCCTGAATGGCACCTATTTCTGCCCCTATCCTAGGTCATGTGACCATCAGCTGGCTGAAAGGGAGGCTGGGAAGTGTGGTATGCAGCTGGACACAGGTGTTCCATAATTAATGGAATTAATAGGGAGGATGGGTACTGGTTAACTTCCAGTAGTTTATTAAACAGACAATAAAAGGAAAGCACCTTTGTTTTCATATGAAGATCCTTGCAGTCTGACCATTTATATGTAACTAGCTGTTTGTATTCACCATCTTCACCCCCACTGCTCTAATTTGGCTGGAGCAAATTCTGTAAAATTAAAAGAATTTTATGTGAAGAAAATGCCATCAGGGAGTGCTTATTATTAATCTTACTAACAGATGTTGGGATAGCCCTTCAAGTTCCTCTGTGCTTTTTTGCCCCCTACAACCCCACATACACTCTTCAGCAAAACTAATCTTGTATTCAGAAGTAAAAATACGGTCACCATGCTCTGTCTCTCACAGCTGTTACTTGTGGCACCCAACCCAAACGCAGTTAAAGGTCGGTACCTCATGCACAACTGGGGGTGTGATTATGAGATCAAACCAGGGTGCTAAAATCAGGCTACAGGGTTCTTAACACTGCCACACTCACTCACAAGCTATGAAATGTAAAAGTACTTTTTGGTTCTTTTCTCTGGTCAAACACATCAAGTAAACTGTACCCTTCGACTTTGTCTGGGAAAATATTAAATGCCAAGAGGGTAAATCTCCAATTAACAGGATTAACTCTGTAGTTTCTCTAACCAACAATTCTGGGAACCTGATAACTTTGGGGCAAAGATCTCAAAGTTCAAGGACAAAGAACAGATTTTGGTCTTCTAATTTCTGAGTTGAGTCTCCCCCTTTCGTCTTCCATGAGGCATGCAATAAAGAGATCTGATATTCAGGGGTGACTGGGTGGCTCAGTTGGCTCAGGTCATGATCTCACAGTTTTGTTGAGTTTGAGCTCTGCATCGAGCTCTGTGCTGTTAGCACAGAGCCCATTTCAGATCCTCTGTTCCTTTCTCTCTGCCCCTCCCCCACTTGTATGCACACTCTACCTCCTCAAAAATAACACTTAAAAAACATTTAATTGCAAAACAGACATCTGATACTTAGTGCTGAGCTATAAACCATTCAGTTAAGAACTATCATATTACCTAATTTAAAAGTGAATTCCAGTATAAGAAATCATTATCTGACTCCATGTTCTCATTCATTTCTCGAATACTGGAGTGCTTACAATTTATCAAACACTGCTCTAACAGTGGGGACACAGGCCTGGCCTCAGAAAGCTTCCATTCCCATGAGATGAGACAGTCTTTAAACAGGGTAAAGAAATAAAATTGACAGTATGTTAGATGGCGACAGATGCAACAAATGAAAAACTTGTTTTCTCCCAAACTCCCAAGGTCTTATCTTCCTTCTTTCTGAGAAGCTGCTTCGATTACTCCCAATTGCCTTTGTCACTTCAGCAACATCATTAAAATACCTGGATAGCTAGGCTTGGTACTGTACATTTTGGAAAAAGTCTGCCATTCAATAAAAGAAGATTTAGTTAAGAGAGGACAATATTCTCTTGGGTATATCAAATCCAAGAAACACTCTCGAACCAATTTCTCTGAGAATTCTTTCAAAAAAGAAGTCTAGCCCCATTCACAATCAGCTACATTTTTGCCGAAGAAAGGAAAGGACCCAATGGAGGGTGGCTACCCCAAAAGGTTAGAAGAGTACACATGCTACAACACGTATATGCATACCAGTTAGCTATTGGCTTGAGGTTTTTTAATCCTTTTCTGTACTGTTAAAACTCTTGACATGTAGCTCAGATAAAAGTAGTATTGAAAATGAAGTAACATTTGGGGTGCCTGGGTGGCTCAGTCGGTTAAGTGTCCGACTTCGGCTCAAGTCATGATCTCACGGTTTGTGGGTTCGAGCCCTGCATCGGGCTCTGTGCTGACAGCTAGCTCAGAGCCTGGAGCCTGCTTCGGATTCTCTGTCTCCCTCTCTCTTTGCCCCTCCCCCACTCATACCCTTCCTCTCTCTCTCAAAAATAAACATTAAATTTTTTTAAAAAAATAAACCAAAATAAAATGAAGTAACATTAGGTGAGGTTTTTATTGGATGGGGAAAGGGGTAAGAGATTAAAACAAAAGTATGAGGATGCTTTCAAAACAGATCTCTGAATACGAAAACACTGTCTCAGGAACCGCCTCTCACAGAAATTTTACACACATGCAGGTGATACGATATGGATAATCAGAGTCCTGGCCACCAAGCTACATGCCCCTTCCACCTCCCATCCCACATACCCTACAACAGGGATGGTTACAAACACAGCAAACAACTCTCCTTTTTATACCTTCCCTATAGTCCCCCCTCTTCTTGAAACTACAACCACACAGTGATTTAGATCAAAAGAACACACCTTTTTAAAAAATCAAATCTTTATTAGTGACAGGCTTACAAATTCAACAAATACACAGCAATACTTACCAAGTTATATTGAGGAACTTTAAAAAAAAAATGCTTCCTTCTTTGAACCACATATGCTCCAGAGCTCTAAATAAGTACTTTCTCATAAGCTTGCCCTCGCCTACTGACAGCCTTCTTATGAATATGTATAAAATCGGAACTGCATCAGTACTGTGGTAATGTGGAAGAGTATTAGCTACTGAGTGTCATATCTGAAGGAAAAATGAAGCAGTTGTCACAGCTGATCCCCTCATCACCTGAACTGTTTGGGCTGCAGCAATCTGAAAACTAATTATCTTAAAGCGGAGAGAAGCCAACACCTCTTGCTGTTCAGGGAAATCATATGTCAGAAGAAATGTTTTTAAAAATGCTTAAAAAAAAATGTTTCTAACACGGCCACTGAAATCACTACTGTATACCTCACACTTAAAATAAAGAGGCGTAAGGAACGGATTCGCAGAACCGGATTCTTTTGATGAAGGCTTTTCTCCAAAGAGAAAAATAAGAGCTTTTATATTTACTCTTTGGGGTTAAAATGTTTAGTTTGGGTTTTTCTCCTCTTCCCTTTCTAATTAGAAGGGGTCTGCATTTCTCCTATCTACAACACCGTGGTGGTAAGAGTATGTACTCGGTGGGGCTAATAAAACTAATCTGTGATTTAAAAAACAAAAATTTTTTAAAGGAGAAAATAAAAACAAAGTTAACTGGCAAGGTGGATAATCAAGGGTTGATCTACTGAAGTCAAGCAGCATCAGAAATAATTCCTGTCAAAGAATGCAAGAGATAATAAGAATAAAAATATGAGTTCTGATGTGCCAGGCATTGTTCTAAGTACTTTATTTGTATTCCTTTATTTACTCAATCCCAAAATGCTATATACTTTCACTTTACAGATCAGGAAACTGAGGCAGAGAGTGGTTAAGCAGCTTGCCTAAAGGCACACAGCTAACAGAACTACGAGGCCCAGGACTTGCACAGAGGCAGGCAGAACCCAGAGCCACTAGGCTTCCTCCCAATCATGCACTCAGGACTGTTCATTTACAGATAGATCCAGAGAAGGGAGATTAGCGGTTAAACTAAAATACCCCAGACTCTAGATCTGAGTACTTTCTCAAAATCCAACTAAACTACACTAAACTAAGAGAAACACATCAGCTCTCTTACAAACAGAATGGAAAAACACCATCATTCTGAGCAAACCTCCCACTGAGTAGGAAGGCATGGGGTACCCACTTCCTATTGCCAGCGCACACGTCCAGATAACACAGCCGATCACAGCAGCTGGTCATCTCATCTCTCTGTTAGAAGTCCACTAAGTGAAAGATGTTAGGTCAAAAGAGAGTACCAAAAAAAACCCCAAACACACTAACCAACAAACAAAAAGACCAAACAGACAACATTAAACAGGTTTTGAGATTTATTAAAATAAAGTATTAGCAAACAATATGCAAAATCAAAGTTCTTAAGAGTTATGGCTTTGAAGAAGCACAATATAGTAAAACCTAATACATTTTTATACGTATCAAAAAGGTAACAGAATTGAAGCATGTTGCCAGAATTTCATTTTCTACAACAGAAACAGAAGCAGAACAGGAAGCGGACCTATAGTGCAGCCATTGGTTTGGTCTTTATCATCTGCATAGGAGTATCTTTTTAAGAGAAGATGGGCAGTATGTACATAAAAACATCCAGTTTTCATGATTACAGTCCAATTTTCAAATAAGTGATCTTTAAAAATGCAATTTTAACCAACCAGATTAAGGAGAAAATCGCCTGCCCAACTATTAGCTTCAAGAGTCCCTACATATAAAATACTTCATGAATAAATCAAAGCAACATTATCTCCAATGATATTAGAAGGGAAGATCTGACTCTAAAAAACCTCTTCTTTTATAAGGAAGGTGGGTTGGTTTGGCCTCATTGTAGTTTTATTACAGTTAATACCAGCTAGTATCAAGAAGGTACTACATGTTAATGGAAGGCAAGAATCTAACTGTACACAAAATTCTGAACATTTTAATAACAGTATCTTCAAATAAATCCTTAAAGGACAATGGTTTATGATGACTGCTAACAATTTTAAGAACTGAAGTACCTAGATGAGAACCATGCACACCTTTTTCACTCTGCCATGAATGACCGAAGAATCCTGCTCTGAGGCTGGATCTTTTCACCAAAACATCCCATCATTTGTTTTACAGAAACTGCTATCAGCAAATATATCACACGCTCTTACTTAAAAAAAAAAAAAAATTGCTATGTAAAATACCTCTCACTGGTTTTTGTAAACCATCCAATTTTAGGGTAACACTTCAGTTGTAACACAGGTGTAGTTTAGAAGGTTAAGTCTGTATTAGGAACAATCCAATAGAACCAAGGCTTGATAAATACTGTTACCTCTTGTAATTAGGAAATGCTAACCTGTAACCCAGTAAATTCCAAAGAATTGTCCAAGCTTCTGTCCAGCAGGCAAAAAGTGTGTATGCATAAGAAACGCTTTGAATTGTCACTTTCCACACATGCATCTTCTGTGAGAAGAACACCTCTCCCAAATCCCACCTCTATCAAGGAGAGATATGCTGCTGCTCTGGAGGAAACAGGCCCCAAATATGAGAGTGCCCCCCATAGAGCTGCCCTAGTTAGTATCTGAAGAGCCCACCCGCAAATAATGTTTAGGAAAACTCCCTCCCATAAAAATCACCAAACATGCCTGAAACCATCATGCTATCTACTACCTTAAAAGATCCTTGCTTATCTAGCTGATGGGTATACATACTGAGGACACATAGTTACATTCCGACCTGAAAGAGTAAACAAGGATTTAAGCAATACAACAAAGAAGGGCTCTGATCCTCTTAAAAGCTAACAGATCCAAAACTGAAGTCATCATTGGAAGGTGAATTATCAAAAGAGTCTTCCTTCTTCAGCAAGTATAAAAGACATTAACATATTCAGTGGGGAATGTGTTCAAAGGAACACTGAGCAAACAATCACAAAGAATGTAAAGAAATGGATTCAAGCTGGCACATGAGCTGTTTTCCAGGACAGCAGTACAGTACTTAAACAGGTTCTGTCGGACTTTTTGGAGGTTCTCTGTTACCGGTAGGATTTCATATTCTGCACAAACTTTCTCCTTCAACAGAAAACCATTACAGGAGAACTGCACAGGTACCGAGAGCCCTAGTTCTCATCTTGACAAGAGATTTCAGATCCGAACACTCTTGATCATTTTACATCTTACAAGGATATCTTACTCTCAACTGTTAGGAAAAGTATCAAGTAGCTACATCCTCTTTCTAGACTATTAGGTATAGCTCACTGAACTACCTAGGAATCTTACTGTGGATTTCAACTAAGAAATCCAGCCAATTCTCTTACCACAGGTCCCTTACCTAAGAATAAAGTGTGAAAAATGATTTATATTCTGATGTATATACTTGACATTTTGATTGATGTCTTCTTTAATCTCTAAAGAAAAAGTATTAGCTTCAGAAGATCAATAACATGCCTAATAGTTTACAGTCTACAACATAAGCCAGGCAATACCATACAGACCATAATACTGTATTATACAAACACGCTGATCAAATGCAACTGTTTTTGCAAGCATCTTTTTCTTGGATTAATTCATTACTCACATGAGTTTCCATTCTATTTCTCTTTCTGCATTTACCAAACTGGTTGTAATTTTATGATTCCCAGACTCTACTCCTTTCAGCTCGCATATATTAGTATGAAATGTGATTGCTGTAGCAGTGATGTTTTCATAAATTTGAGCATAAACCATTCCAAAGATTTAAAAATTTTAAAGATTTTAACAATGTAAAACTATAATTTTCTGAAATGGTTTCTTTCAGAAGTGTCTTCACTGGTCAGAATTTCTAGTTTTTAAAATCTTACTGGCAATTTTTAATTCCCGTTCATGGATTGGGGGCACCCTCGGGAATTATTGAAGCAACTACACAGAATAAAAATTTCAGTTAAAATCCAGGGTATATGGTTTATAAGTTTTAGGGAAGACCACAGGCTTCTCTGTTTCCATGGAACTCTTAACGGTCAATAGCTTCAGTACTGACCTTCTTGAGATACAACTCCTTAAGAAAAACACAGGAAAGAACAATCACATAAAATCCTGACAATTCTAAAGACTGTAACAGGAATAAAAACAATTTTTAATTAACTCAATTGAAACCATCAGTGAAACAATTCAATAGTATGCACCTGTTCAAGTCCACAGACGTTGATGACATGTATCTGTCATTCAACCTGGGTAGTTTCCTTCTACACATTTGCCCCAAAGATTATGCCACAAGCCTGGGAAATCAAAGAACAATGTAAATAGCTAGGTTCTAACACTAAGCACATAATTTTCTTTCATGTGGCGGACGCACGTGTGGAAGATGAAGAATGCGTGTCATGGAAAGCTTACTTCTGTTTAAGGTTCAGGCGGCTGTGACAAAGTATCCTTTCACACAGCAAAGGACTGTGACCTGAAACATATGGCACTTCATCTGACAGAACTAAACCATCCACTGGCTGCACTTCGTAAGAGCAATGAATAATGTTACAGAAAAAAGGAATCGCATTCTCCTCTCCTCAAGAAATGCAGAAAGGGCAAAGTAGAAAGTCAAACCAAACTAGCACTTTAAATAGAAGACTGACGCGGCTCCATATACTTTGAAAAGGCACCAGAAAATAGCTTTCTCTGATAGGTAAATTAGGTCACTTTTTTTTCAAAATGATGTCTCTGTTCTCACGCCATAACCAAGTGCCTATCTGGCTGCTCTCTGGAAAAAGAGGTTAAAAGTCTTTTACCCAAAGCCTACAAGCATGACTGACTGAACAGAGAGTTTATAGAGTTTTCATGTCTTTCCTCTCAGAGGACTGTGTTCTGGGAGATTAGCATCCACAGAAGTGCTAATAAATGGCGGGGGGCGGGGGGGTGGGCGGCGCAGGGAACAAACCCAGGACATACATGGGAACTGAGAGAGCAGTCTGCATTCTAGGATAGGGTAATATTTCAAAATCAACTATCTCAACAACCACTGCTTATTCATCCAAGTACCAGACCAGCAGCCTTGACCCGGGGCCAGACTGAAGAGGCTGGAAGTCCTTTCCTTGCTTGGGGCGACTGACGCCAGTAAGAGCAACGGGAGGAGAGTATGATTTTCCAAAACGAGCGACACACAGAGAGTGGGAGGGAATTAGAAAGGCACCTTAAATCGGAGCTACAGAATAACAGTCTTATAATCTAGGTCAAAAATACAAAAAAGGTAGAAAAAGTCTAACTTCCTACACCTGTCATCTATAAACCGCAGTGTCTGTTAATACAAAAGGGGCACCAGGGAAGTAAGGCTGAGCATCTATGTCCAAGTCACTTGAGTGTGTTTCATAAAAGGTTACACTAAAAACTGTCACCCATCAAAGTGCAAAATAAGAGACTAATGCATATGTCAAAATTAGAGTTCTTGCAACAGTGGCCAAAAGGAGCCAAGCTGAACAAGGCCGCGCATGCACCGTCACTAGCTATGAAGTAGTACTCAGGACAGACTCAGAGTAAGTGACATATACTAGAGATCTGTTGTTTACAATAATTTTTTTTTTTAAAAGGAAATGTTTTATAAAAGATATACTGAATGAGGCCACAACAGACTGACACACACTTAGCTGTAATAAATGTACATTTTATGACACCATCTAGAAAACTATCACTTTGCTTTTACTGAACACTACTTGTTAGAGCAGTGCATAGTGTTCCTTCAAATAAAAAAAATTTTTTTATAGTTTCTTTTCAGCTCCTACCATATGCTTTCAGAAAACAACGAACTACACTTTCACTTTCTTAACATTGGTAAGATAAAGAAACTGGAAAAAGTACAGCTCCTATAGGGTTAAAAGGGAAGAATTTTCACCGTGTATCTTCTTTTCCTATTATAATTTTTCATCACGTGATGCACTAATTTTTCCAGGAAACTGAACAAACAACAAGTTGTTGGGACAGTAAGGCAGAATTGTTCTTCCAGTTTAAGATCAATGCCAAACTTGTGAGCTGGGGTACCACACTTCTACTGTGCATTTTTCACAACACTTTTGAGAGTTAACATGAACACGAATAACAAACAAATGTAGATTCATCACAAAATACAAACGTATTGGTCACAATTATGTAGAAAAAAAATAAGCTGTAATATCTGTTTTCCATGTAAGCTCACAGTATCTGTACTGAAAGTTTCCCTAAAATTAAAACAAGTCCACTAATAATATAATTGAAAAGACTATTTCTGCACTATGAGACGGAAGATATGGGGTTCAGAGGGGAGCCCATCTGAGTAAGGACTTTATCCAGCCACTGAAGAGGCCCATGAAGATGAATCTCAATCCAACATGGGGTGCTGGTAACATCCTGCCGGTGATATTCTGCTCCCCAGCCCTAAGAGAACAAAAAGATATCATAGCAAATTCCTCCTTAAACTGTAAACCAGTCTAAACCAATTTTAACATACTAACAGAGAGTTACTTCAGCAAAAGAGATGGCAAAACCAATCTTGAGGATACACCATGGAATTTAAAGCAACACAGAGTTGCAGAGCTTTCTGCAAGAGATAGGATTCCTTTAATAGAAACTCTTAGAGCAAAATAGGTTCTAGAACTTTTTTTTTAAGTTTAGAAAGTTAATACAGTACAATAACTCACAATTAAAACACTAGTATTTCTGCTATGAGATACATTCTCACTTAATGAGATAAACAAAACTTACAGTCTCATGTCTGTTCACATCAGATTTTGTTATGAAAAAGTTTTTGGTTTTTAGGTTTTTTTTTTTTTTTTTAAGCTCTCAGTTAAGGCACTGTAGATCTGATTGATGCATGCAAGTGTAATTAAAGTAGCTGGGATGAAGGAAGCTGGAACATTTTAACCTAAGGCTCTAGATAAAGATTAAAATATAATTGTGTTCACTTTAATTTGCCTGTATTTACCAAGCTCTCTGCTTTACAGCTTCAAGTAGTGCTGGCACAGATAAATTCGGCTGTGTGGGGGGAGGGGGTGGAGTAGAGATTAAATATACAGAAGTTATGTTTCCATGGAGGGCGGGCTGCTGATAAAGTGATGCACAGAACAGACCTATTGCAAAGCAGCAAGGAAACACTGGACCACGCATCTGAATGTCAGAAAGAAAAGCCCACACGTAGTATTTCACCTATGCTCTTGGGCTTAATCCTTAAGGACCAAGTGGATATAGCACAGGATGCTTAAATGTATCAACTAAAGTCTTCCCTAATTTTACTCATGAACCATCATCTTTGTAATGCCAATAAAATCAGGCCAAAAGCAAATGACAAATTTGAAAAGTTCTCTCAACTTTGCAAATCCTTAATAAGAGAGGTTAAATATATAGAAGATTAATATCAGTATTCTGAAGAATTTTTTAAGTCACTCCACTGGGATCTAATAATAATTGAAACTGCGGAGGCTAAGGAACTTTAAAAGCAATTTTAATGTGAGATGCATTCTACCAATTTAACTTTAACTGAAATTCTTTATAAATTCAGCCCCTATTCAATACCAAAATCAGTATCAGTATTATGCATTTTATAACGTCTGGATTATAAAATTAAAACTTGGACCTATCGTGTGGTTAAAGCTATAAACTCAACATCACTTAAAAACCTATTAAGTCAAGTAAAAAGTAAATCCCACCTTTCAATGAAGAAAGACTTTTTAAAATCATAACCTATAGAAATATGATCTACATATTTACAGTGACTCAAATTAAGCTCCAGCTTCCAACCCACTCACCTTGACAAAACTCATTCGAATGGTACACATTTTGGTGAGCTCATAGACCGCCTCAAACCCATGGTTGACAGACTGAGCCAGAAGCTGAGCAAATTCTTGGTTGTTAAAGATTTTGAGGCTGCAACTGCTGGGGATCTTACAGACAGTGGTAGGATGAAAGCCGTGATGGAAGTTGCAGTTCCTGCTCTGTACAAATATGCTGCTGTCACTGAGGCACTCCGCGTACACCTCTCCTCCGACATAGTACAGATGGACACCTTAAAAACACGAGCATTCCAGGACTCACCTTCATAAAGCAGTATAATGAAACCAAAGAGGCCGGAGAAGGCGCCACCAAGAACACCCCCTCATCCCTAGCAACCGCCCACAAGTCTGGCAGCAGAAGCTACCACTAGAGGGCCTACGCTGCCAAAGGTAACAGGAGGTCAATGTCTGCTCAAATTCTACAGTGGTCCTCAAACAGCTAAGACTTAAGCCTCAGGCTGCCAGCTTATTACATTTATCAGTTCTTAGGTTGTCTTCTCTTGGCCAACAATCCCTTGTTAGCTCTATGAGAGAAAGCGAGGGCACAAAGACAAATAAGGCACCTATGAGGAGTCCTCTCAAAGGAATACGGGCGCTATTAACTATCACAAAGAGTCAACTGGCAGAGTGTTTTGCACCCTTTCACTACTAGAGAGTACAGCAGAATGCAAAGACTCTAAGTCCCCTCTGCTGTCAGCACAGAGCCCACTTGGGGTCCTCTGTCCCGCTTTCTCTGGGCCCCACCCCTGCTCATTCTCTTTTTTCCTTTTCAAAATAAATGTAGAAAAGAAAAGAAAAAAGAGAAAAGAGAAGAGAAGAGAAGAGAAGAGAAGAGAAGAGAAGAGAAGAGAAGAGAAAAAAGAGAAAAGAGAAAAGAGAAAAGAGAAAAGAGAAAAGAGAAAAGAGAAAAGAGAAAAGAGAAAAGAGAGAAGAGAAGAGAAGAGAAGAGAAGAGAAGAGAAGAGAAGAGAAGAGAAGAGAAGAGAAAAGATCCTACCTAAGTCACATATGTAATTTCAGGTCACAGGAAGGGGTTTTAAACAGATTTATTTTACCTCCCCTAAGAAGACTGTTTTTGCTATTTAAAAATATATATGTAAGTAAAATATAAATAACAGTTTCAATATTAAAACCTCAATCATGTAAAGCTAAGATTATTTCCAACTTTTCACTACCGCAAACAGTGCCAAAAATTCCATCTTTGTACATACACACGCCCTACACATGTGAGTCCCAGACCTGTATACAAATAGCCGTGTTTTGTTTCCGAGCATAGAGGAAGGGGTCCTAGAACTGGGTACTAGAAAAAAAGGGAAAACAGATTCTAGAATTAAGAGTTCGCCAAGTAGATTTCTCTTAAATTACTCTAGTGTGGTGGGGAAACCAGCACACCAGAAAGGAGGCATTTCACCTGCAACAGTGCGCCAAGCTGGCAAAGGAGTCAAAAGAGAATGGACACTTTCAACTGATTTCTGGCCATAGTATTTTGCTGAATCTCTTCTATAAAAAGTCACTTTACAACGATAATTACGTATGCCCTGTCCTAACTTGGACTAAGACTTTCTTAAGTCAAAGAAGCAAAAAACAGCAAGTGGTAAAAACTACACTTCTTAGGAGACGGCAGTGCACTCTACCTGGGATAGGTTTCCTTCCTGGCCACTTGATACATGAGACTCTGACCTTTTCCTGAGATGTAGAAAGTTCCTTGTTTGTTGTGGCAACTGTCTTGCAGGATGAAATATAAATAAAACCTTGTTACCTGAATTTAAAAGGCAGGAAGGGTGGTGGTGAAGCCACTGGAAACTTGTATCATTCCAACTGGATTTCCTACCTGTAACCGGGCTCCTCCAACGTAAGAGAAATTCTTACAAGGCACTTCAACTCAAAATACTCCACAAATACCTCAATTAATCAATTCTACTCTCCTGCCAGCACTCATATATTCACAAGCATTTGCTGTGTATTTACTATGAGCCAGGCACTGCTGAAAATAATGCTGTGAACAATGCATGTTTCCGTAAAATTTACATTCCAATCAGAAGACACTCAAAAATAAATACAGAAATAATATGATTTCAGATCCTAAGTGCTAAGAAATCAAACTAAGGAAAGGAGGACTGATTAGGTCTTAATACACTGGCCAGCATAACCTGAGGGCACTGCCCATGCTCTAGGCTCATCTTATGTTCCAGCACCTTCCACGATACATGGTAAACAGCAAGCACAACAGGACTCATTTCAGCCAAACGCGGGGAAATGACAAAATTACCTTTTCCAATATGTCGCCTAGTGTTTTCAATTGTTGAATTACGATTAACGTTTGACAACAACCCCAAGCAGAATCTACTTTTGTTATTTGAAGGGTCTGTGAATCCATCCACTAACACACTAGTAGAAGATGCATGAAAAGCCTCCCCAACACGATTGTTTAATTCATAGTAGACAATTGAACACCAATGTTTGGGCTCCTCATAGGCAACAGGCTGAACGTCTGTAAACAAACCGGACAAAAACACAAAAAACAAAACACTTAATGAGTGAATTAAAAACCCCAGATTCTTTGTTTCCCTTTAACCCAACTCATAAATACTTTCAGATATTCCACTTAAGTCTCACTGTTCCTCTCTGGCTTTGAGTCTGAATAGAAAAGAAAAAAAATCATCAATGCCTTGAATGTAATGGTTTGAAAAATTAGCCAAATAGAAATACAAGGATAGGCAACATCACATTTATTTTATTTTTTTCTTTAAAATTTTTATTATTGAAGTATTGTTGACATACAACACCATATTAGTTCCAGGCATACAACACAGTGATTAGATAGTCCCTATACATTACTCACTGCTCACCACCATGATACGAGCAGTTACCACCTGTCACCATACAACGTTATACAACCTCTGTTTGAAATAATATGGTATGTGTCTTTCTTTGTGACTTATTTCACTTAGCATAGTAGCCTCAAGATCCATCTGTGTTGATGTAAAATGGTAATATCTCAATCATTTTTATGGCTGAGTAATATTCCTTTGTGTATAAATCTCCTTTATCCATTGATGTACCGATGGACACTTAGGTTGCTCCCCTATCTTGGCTATTTGTAAATAATGCTGCAACAAACACAGAGGTGCAGGTATATTTTCAAATTAGTGTTTTCAAAAAAATAATGTTTTCATTTTCTTTGGATAAATATCCATAAGTGGAATTACTAGAAAATATAGTGTTTCTATTTTTAATTTTTTGAGGAATCTGTGTATTGTTTTCCAAGTGGCTCCTCCAATCTACACTCCCACAAACAGGGCACAAGGTTCTCTTTTCTCCATATCCTCTTCAACATTTCTTATTTCTTGTCTTTTTGATACTTGCTGCTCAGCCTGGTGTAAGGTGGTGTCTCACTGTGACTGGTTTTGCATTTCCCTGATGATTAGTGACGATGAGCATCTTTTCATATGTCTATCGCCATCTGTATACCTTCTTTGGAAAAATGTCTATTCAGATCCTCTGTCCATTTTTCTAACCAATTGTTTGGTTTGGATTTTTGTTGTTGTTGTTTTGTATAAGTTCTATATTTATTTTGGATATTAACCCCTCATAAGATACATCATTTGCAAACACCTTTTCACATTCAGCAGGTTGCCTTTCCTTTTGCTGATAGTTTCCTTTACTGTACAAAGCTTTTTATTTTGCTATGGTCCCAACAGTTAATTTTTGCCTTTGTTTCCCTTGCCTGAGGAAACATATTCCATAAGTATGTTGCTAATGCTAATGTCCAAGTGACCACTGTCCTGTTTTCTTTCAGAAGTTTTACAGTTTGAGGTCTCACATTTAGGGCCTTCATCCATTTTGAAGTTATTTTTGTGTATTGTAGAAGAAAGTGGTACGGTCTGATTTCTTCACATGTAGCTACTCAATTTTCTCAACACCATTTATTAAAGAAATGATTCTATCCCCATTGTATATTCTTGCCTACTTTGTTGTCGATTAACTAACCTAAGTGTGAATTTATTTCTGGGCTCTGAATCTGTAATCTGTAGATTACTCTCGGTAGTGTAAACATTTTAACAATATTAATTCTTCTAATCCATGAGCATGGAATACCTTTCCATTTTTTTGTATCATCTTCAATTTCTTTCATCAGTGTTTTATAGTTTTCAGTATTCAGGTCTTTTAACTCCTTGTGTTACATTTACTCCTAGGTATTTTACTCTTTCTGGTGCAATTGTAAATGGGACTTTTTTAAATTTCTTCAGCTACTTTGTTATTAGTGTACAGAAACACAACAGATTTCTGGATATTAATTTCATATCCTGCAACTTTACTGATTTCATTTCTTAGTACTACTAGTTTTCTTGGTGGAGTCTTCAGGGTGTTCTATATATAGTACCATCTAATCTGCAAATAATGACAGTTTTGTTTCTTCCTTTCCAATGTGGGTGCCTTTCATTTCTTTTTCTTGTCTGACTGCTGCAGCTAAGACTTCCAGTATTATGTTGAATAAAAGTGGCAAGAGTGGATGTCCTTATGCTGTTCCTGATCTTAAATGAAAAGCTTTCAGGTTTTCACCATTAAGTAAGTATGATGTTAGTTGTGGCTGTGTCATATATGGCCTTTACTAAGGTGAGGTAGGTATTCTCTACATCCACTTTGAGTTTTTATCATAAATGGATACTGATTTTTGTCAAATGCTTTTTCTGCATCTGAGATGATTATATGGTTTTTATCCTTCATATTATTAATGTCACGTATCCACTGGTTGATTTACAGATACTAAATCACACTTGCACCCATGGAATAAATCCCACTTGATTGTAGTAAATGATCCTTTTCATGTATTGTTGAATATGGTTTGCTAACATTCTGTTTACAATTTTTGCATCTGAGTTCATTAGGGATATTGGCCCATAGCTTTCTTTTTTTTGTAGTGTTTTTGCTTTTGGTATAAGGGTGGTGTTGGCCTTGTAGAATTAATCTAGAAGCTCTCCTTCCTCTTCTATTTTTGCAATAGCTTGAGAAATATAGGTATTAACTCTTCTTTAAATGTTTCATAGAATTTACCTCTGAAGCTATCTGGTTCTGAACTTCTTTCTGTGTGCTGGGAGTTTTCTGATGACTGATTCAATCTCATTACTAGTAATAACTCTGTTCAGATTTTCTACTTCCTCCTGATTCCGTTTGGGAAGATGACATGTTTCTAGGAATTTTTCCATTTCTTCTAAGCTGTCCTATTTGTTGGCATATCATTTTTCATAGCAGTCTCTTAAAATCCCTTGCATTTCTGTGGTGCCAGCAGTGACTTCTCCTCTCTCATTTCTGATTTTATTTATTTGGATCTTTTCTCTTTTTTCTTGCTAAGTGTGGCTAAGATGTACATTTTATCTTTTCAAAGAACCAACTTTGGTTTTATAAATCTATTGTGTTTTTAAGTCTCTATTTCATTTATTTTCACTCTGATCTTTATTTTTTCCTTCCTTCTACTAACATTGGGCTTTGTTCTTTTTTTTCCTAGATCCTTTTAGGTATAAGGCTAGCTTGGTATTTCAGACGTTTCTTGTTTCCTGAGGTAAGCCTGCATCCCTACAAACTTCCCTCACAGAACTGATTTTGCCATGTTCCAAAGGTTTTGAACAGCTATGTTTTATATTTTAAATGGTTTTCCTAGCAGAATCTAATCAAGGTTTAAATTTGCAGGAAGTATAGGCAACCTGAACAATTTAACTATACCAGTATTTGTAAAATTATCTTTTCAAAGAACCAACTTTGGTTGGTTGCAATTATTGCAAGGTTCCAAGATGCAAGGGAGTTAATATACAAAAGTGAATCATTTTGGTATATACCAGCTATGAACATATGGAATTTGATATTAAAATTTCATCACTTGTATTAATATTCAAAAAGAAATATTTAGATAAAAATTAAACAAAAAAGGTGCAAGATCTATATAAAGAAAACAGAACTCTAAAGAGAGAAATGAAAGAGGGAATGAAATAAATGGAGAAACAGTCCATTTTCATGGTAAGAAGCTTCAATACTGTCAGGATATCAGTTCTTCCCAACATGATCTATAGATTCCAATGCAATCCCAATCAAATTCCCAGCAGATAATTTTGTGGATATCAACAAACTAACCCTACAGTTTATTTGGGGAGGCAAAGACTCAGAAGAATGACACTTACCTTAAAGCTAATACCAAGACACTATGGTATTGGCAAAAAGAATAGAGTAACAGATCTAAGGAACAAAGAGAGGGCCCAGAGGCACCTGGGTGGCTCAGTTGGTTAAGCATCCAACTCCTGATTTTGGCTCAAGTCATGACTCCAGGGTCATGGGATTGAGCCCCACATTGGGCTCCACACTGAGCCTGCATAAGATTCTCTTTCTCTCTCTCTGCCCCTCTTCTTCACTTGTGTATGCTCTCTCTCCTTATTAAATAAAAAGAAGAAGAAAAGAAGAGAGAGCTCAGAAAAAGGCCCATTTAATATAGTTAAGTGCTTGTTGATAAAGGAACAAAGGCAATAATAGAAAAAAGAAAATAAAATAGAAAAAAATAGAAAAATAGAAAAAAGACAGTCTTTTCAACAAATAGCACAAGAACAACTGGCATTCAAATGCAAAAAAAAAAAAAAAAAAAGAATCGACACAGACATCATACCCTCCACAAAAATTACCTAAAAAGGGATCAGAGACCTAAACGTAAAACAAAACAAAAAACAAAACAAAACAAAAAACCCTGTAAGACTTCTAGAAGATACCACAGGAAAAAATCTAGATGACTATAAATACAGTAATGACTTTCTAGATACAACACCAAAGCATGAACCACAAAAAAACTGATAAGCTAGACTTCACTAAAAATTGAAAACAACTGCTCTGCAAAAGACCCTCCCAACAGAATAAGAAGATAAGCCACAGAGAAAGTGGAGAAAATACGGGCAAAAGACACATCTGATACAGGACTATTATCCAAAAGATACAAAGAACTCTTAAAATTCAACAAGAAAATAAATAACCCAATTTATAAAATAGCTTAAATACATAAACTGCCACCTCATCAAAGAAGACACACAAATAAAAAACAAGCATATAACAAGATGCCCCACATCGTGTGTCATTAGTAAATGCAAATTAAAATAGCAATAAAATACCAGTATCCACCATTAGAATGGTCAAAATCCAGAAGAGGGCCAACACCAAATGCTGGTGAAGATGTGGAGCTGTAAGAATTCAGAATCAGCGCTAGTGGAAATGTAAAATGGTACAGCCACTTTGGAAGACAGTTTGGCAGTTTCTTACAAAACTAAACACACTCTTACCATACATTCCAGCAAACACACTCCTCAGTATTTACCTAAAGGAGCTAAATATTTATTCCACACAAAAACCTACCCAAAGACATTTATGGCAGCTTTATTCATATCTGCCAAAACTTGAAAGCAACCAAGATGTCCTTTGGTAGGTGAATGGATAAATAAACTGTGGTACACCCAGATGATG